CGGAGAAATAACAGGCACAAATCTAGGAAAACGTTGTTTTGTCTATTTTAGTCGTCATTGTTACTTCTGACAGGCTCAAAAAGTGTCTTGAGCAGAATGATCCAGGGCGTTATTGTTATTTTACCCCTTTACACACTGTAGACGTTTCAAAGGCTTCTGTGCGTGAGTAAAATATATTTAAAGCAGAAAGACTTTCTCTGGCCCACAGCTCACATCGTAACATAAAAAAATAATCCGTTCTTACTGTATGTGAAGGCGTCATTTATAGCGTCGGAAGAATGTGTTAAAGACGAGCGCATTATGGGTTAATTGCAGCCAACTTCAGATTTCGCACGCAGTTGCGCACTAAATTGCGGGCTAGTTAATACGGTACAATCTGGATTTAATCTCCACCTCTGAGCTCAGCTGCAACGAGAAACGTGCGGAACGAAGCTGGAGCCCAGCTGAACTTGTGCTCAGTGCGGCACTGAGGGCTCAGCATCGCCGTTGTTCTGATTAGCACGAACTGCAGCTCTGAATCAGAATCATAAATTTATAAATTCATATATAGGCCATGATTAGTACTTTTTCTGTTTCCTGTTAGTATATAGGAGCAAACGAGAACAGCAGCTGCGGGTTTGAGTTTGAACATGTGTCGTATTATAGAAGCATTTATTTCCTGTGATAAACGATAAAGATTCATAGGGAGATCCTTCAGACGAATAAGCGAACACATCGGTGTTTGGGTTTTATGTATACGTTACATTTGTGTCTGCAATAGTATAAATATAAATGTTAAGATATTTTAAGGGGTTACATTTGTTGCACTCCACCTAAGAGTTTCTTTTTTGTTCGTGGATGTTCTCAGAGGCACCAAGTTACCTAAATTACAGGTATTTTGAACGATGACTGACAAAGGCATGTGCTACAGTTTCCTTACAGCGGCGTTAGCAAACCGTTACAAAAAGCACGAGTTAATGTTCCATAGCGTGAGCAATCTTTTTCACACTTTTGTTAATAAATCAGGCGTGTATTCTTGAACTTCAATACGAATAGGTGGGATGTGTCTGGAAAGCAATTTTAGTTATCACAACAATCTTCAAAAGACGTATGTATAAATTCATAAGTGACGAATTTATATCCATGAAATGAAGATGTGGTTTTAATTAGCCCTCTACTTCAGCAACATATAGACTGTTATTTTGGGCTCGTTGAGGTTGAGCGCAGATTTAACGCGGAGCTGCGGATTAATTTCTGCGGTGAGTTTCGTTGCTGTTGGGTTTAAGGCAGCCAGCGCATCAGTTTATCGCGCAGATGAGTGCCGACCACAGGTTGAACTCCAGTTATTAAGCTGCTTCCAGTCCGTTGCAATTGATGCCTATACAGTACGTGGTTTTTAAAAGTTTTCTCCGGTGCTGGTGTGGGGTTACTCGCCATCATAAAACTCAACTGGAAGATCGCTTTCGGTGTTATCAGAATTCCAATCAAACATACAGTCAAACCCGGCTTTGTTTTGTTGTTCGACCGGTTTCAAAATAGGGTAAATATTTTTATTTCTTTAACATAAAACCTGTTAGGGGCTTTCGTTAGCAGCAACCGCCCTCCGCAGACTCACTGTTACGAGATTACAAACTCCGATTACTTTTTAACGATTTACACGTTAATCAGAAGCGAGTCAGTTTAATCATAAGGAACTAAATTAGACGAGGTTTTAAAGCGCAATACTACGGGCAGTGTTTACACGTACGAGTAAATATGCATTCACCCCTGCTTTTACAATAGTATGATAAAAAAAAATATATATGGGTGGTGCCTGAGCTCACTCAGCACCCACGGAACTGATCTCTATGCCTTAATATCATGAAATCTTACTTCCCAAAGAGACAGATCCAGCCTCTTCAGATCCAGCGAGAGCAGGTTTCCTAGGAGCGGCAGGGCTGGGGGTCCCGGAGGTGTCTTGACAGACTCGGGTGTCGACCCCATGAAGACATAAACCACAGAAATCACTATCGCCACAGCCAGAGACAGCGCCACGGTGGAGACTTGCAGAAAGTCTTCTAGGAAAAACATTTTTTCGCTTTCCCCCGCTAAGCTGGCAAGGCTAACTTTCAATTGGTTTTCGGGAAAACTGATTTTCGCAGGAAGTACAGTATTTCCGCTGTTTTTCCCAACTTCAAACTGAACTGACGGGGGGAACAACACCCCGGTGTACAAACCGCCTCACACCGCTCAGTGCTCCGGCACGACAGGCGCTACGGCAATGGGCGTTTCGCCATAGAGGAGAGGAGGAGGCGTTTCGCCGCTGAGGAGACACTGATCTTTAATTTCCCACTACTACTAAAGCCATGCCTTATCTAAATACTAAACATTTCAGGCTTGGAAAAAAATGATATTGTGCTTTTATATGCAAAGAATAAGAACGTATTAGGCTTTATTTTGAGTCTTGGAATTAGAATAAAAATGTAATAGGTGTCTTTTTCACATACTGTGGCGGCATCTTTACGAAAACGCACAATGGAAATGAACTATCAAACTATGCCGCCTTAACCCATCTTAACTTTGTGAAATTAAACCTAAAATGAGTCGAAATCTGTGGACTTCTAAAAGCATTTGTCATGAGAGATTCGACCAGTTGTAATTTTCAGAATGTAACTCATTTGTACAATACCCCTACCATCCCTTGGTTTAATGAACTTTATTCGTTCCTCGAAAACTATAAAGCGAAAACTCGTATAGGGAAAAACGAAATTTAATTTATAAATAAAAACTTCATACTGTTCCCCGAGGTCTAGAAAATCACCACTTTTACTCTAACGGAGCACTTAATAATTGTTGAAAAAAAAAAACATTATTGCTTGTTTCTGTTAATTAACCTATTTACACTAGACCACTAGTAAACAAATGCACCATTTCAATGCTTGAAAACTCCAAGAACAATGAAGCGCGGATTAACCGAGTCTTAGGACAGACTACAACAACGGCGTCATCTTTTCGACTACAGAGCAAAAATTGGTAAACCAAGTGTTCAAGAATCGATGGGTGGATGGATTCTTCATCACTATGCGTGTGTACCTTAACTTGTACCGTAACATGACTGAAATAGCCTTTATATCCAGGTTACACGCACATCCTGATAAAACTGTGCACTGGTGTCGGTAATTATTGAATAAACAAGCTATGCAAAGTGAGGCACTTAGGACTCTGAAGGTGCCAATTACAAAAAAACGGTAAATATTGACAGACGTTTTCCCCTTAGAGTATGTCTAACCCCTGCTGTTGAAATTTGCCGCTCATTTATAATGTGCAATGGGAAATTCACCTGCAACTGCTGTCAGTGTCCACTAAACTACTGGCACAAGGCACCCGGTGAAAATTCTTGTAGCACCACGATTCTGATTTGCATAAAGCCGTTTTAATTTAAAAAAAAATTACAGTAGACAAGGTTAGTTCAATAGTACAGTACATTAGTTTGCAACATAATTCCCTTATATAGTACATAGCTTGTTTCATTACCATAAATAGTTCAAGTTTCTTGATTCTGCACAATGCAATCGGTTTTCCAGACACAGCTCTGCTGATGTCCAGTGTCCCTTTATAAACAGAAAATCGCACCTGTGATCAAATGGATGGATATTCCCACAAAGCCACATAAACATCCTCTCTAGGATTTAAGTTTTTAACTGCACTGCCCTGTCGAATATTGTATTGGACATCGTCACTGAGAAACAGTTTGGTTTGGGTACAAATGGCAATGAGAGCGATAGGAACTTAGATAACAGAGACAACCTGTACAGAAAACCATCAATCAGTAACTCACTGAAGGCTCTCACCCACTTTTCTTTTCTCTCATACAGACATTTGGTCTCTTCTCTCTTAAATGAGATCCCTGCATGTAAATAAACACGTTTTCATGCGCACATTCAACTGAGCTGAAATATTTTCCGTACCAAAGAAATAAATGATCAAAATTGATTTTGTTTGCAACAGTGATATCAATGTATTATTTTACAAGACGTACTGTAAACATGTCTTGGGACATGTACTACAGCTGGGGCCACATTTCCTGTTCTGCAATACGGGTTCTTATCATCCGAGGCTCAAGTCTGTTTTTTCAAGGTGAGCAGTCAAACATTATCACTGAAGCCAAGTTACTGCTGTCCCTGTTCACAGGCCTGTGTTCTGCACACTATTATCCCAAGCATTTTACACATTATAACCCACCTTCTACAACCCTCTGCATTCAAGGTTCATAAAAAGGTAAATGGCAATCAATTATCAAATTTTAATCACAAGGTGAACACATTATTCAGAAGATGGACTAAACAGGATTTTAAGATTAAGAATTTACACAGAAGTTTTAATGCATCCCCTGGGCATTACAAATTACATGTACAAAATATGTATTCATAACTTAAAATCAGACCAAAATAAAAAAAAAGGAAACATAAGAAGAGCAAAGTTACAAACATTACTTGTGCAAAAAAAGATGTCCTATTTATTAAAGAACACACACACATACGTCTGTCACTGAAGTCTGTGCACACAGCTATTATTTAATGTCCTTTTGTCTGTGCAAGTTTCATAGTGGTGCAAATTGGATTAGATGGCTGCTGGAATCAATTAATTCAACTGATACCTTTAGTACTTAACGCTAATTCATCCTAGTGTTAAATCTACATTTAAAAGAGCAGTAAGTGGTTTAAATAACCATATGCAGTCAATTTTAAATGAACTGAACTGGTGAATAACAGCTCTAAATGAAGGATGCCAAACCAGTTATTTTGCCTGTAACTACTTCTGCAAGGTGGATGAGTTATAGGCAGACAGTTATGCTACTGGAAATGAAACCATCATTGAAACATGAAGCAGAGGACACTGGGTGATATCATGTGGTTGATATTATGTCAAACTGGACTTCAGAGAACAAAAGGTATCATTTTACACTTTACACAAACGGGGTGTGGATTAGGCTACCCAAACCGACACCCTGGATTAAAAAAAAAAACAGCTGGATGAGATCCTCGAACTATTAGCTACTAGCAACCCAACGAATGAGCTGAACCGAATGGCTGGGAGTCCCTAGGGGGTTTAACAGCAACCTCGAAGGAAAGAGCTCAACAGACACCCCAGCACCCTCACGCACTCTTCGACACGTCCACTGGAGGGCGTACAAACGCGTAGTCTCGTTCCGTTTTTGAAGGTGGCTTCCATTTTCACGAAACGTCCGAAAGCTGCTCTGGTGGGCCGGTCGTTCTACGGGCCGAGGGGGCGGCCCTAGAGACAAAAACCCCCCACCGGGCAAAACTCGGAACAGGTGCAATCAGATCGGCAGCCGGCACAGCGCCAATGCTCTACGGATCCTTGTAACTCCGACTGCGGCTCCCTCACATTACAGGTAGACAGCCTCGGCCATGAAGAGCCAGAATCCGAAACATTCAATGGGTCACCCTTAAGTCAGCAATTTGAGAATGCTTTTGTTTCGATCAAGTTAGTAACTGAATTGGACGGCCCATCTGGCAACCTAGTGAGCCATAGGGGAGCTGGTATTTTAATTTCAAATACCCAAATCTGTTAAAATTAAAATCAGATGCCAAAGTGGTCTAATCTCATGTGTTCCAAGTCTAAACAAACTGATGATATGATGATGACATACAGTATACAAGCTGTTGGATGGTGGATCTCCAGGACCAGGGATGGCCATCCTTGCTCTAGATTACACCCTTCATGAATCTGATCTGTGCCGTAAGCCCAAACTCCTTTAGTCTATTCAAAACAACAAGTCTCATGTCTCAGCTGCACAGCATTGTTTTTAAAGGATCAGAAAAATAAACTCTGTAGAAAGAAGTTTTTTTGACCTGTCATAAAATAAAATTCTGTCGGTGCCTTTTAAATTCTCAGTAGCGCACGAGCCAGCCTGACAGGTCATAAAACACATGGGTTTGAAACAGGAGACATTGGTGACCAATCCCTCAGCAGATCAGGAAAACTGCCTCTAGCATCTGCAGCCATTGGCTCATATCTGTAACAGAAAATTCCAGAGATTCCCAAAGAGGCGGAGAGATTACCCACGTGCCTTAGGAAAGGCTGTGTGTTACGTTTCCCAGAGTCCTCTCCACTTGCAGGCAAAGAATATCTCCTGTGACCTGTTGGGCACCTGGAAGCTTGCAGTGACATCAGTGCGAGATATACCACTCCTCCAATCAGAATTTAGATCTCCCATAAGGCACCATGGAGCTTGCAGTGCGTCAAAAAATGAAAGGCTCTGACGGGTGGGCACGACAGAGGAGCATGTCTGTAGGTCCTCATTCTTTCAGTGCAATGCAATTCAATGCAATTTAAAAGAAAACATTTTTGCAGAAAAAGTCATAGCTTCTTTGCACAGTCATAACAGAATTCCCACTAACACATTAAAATATGATCCTTTAAATATTCCCTTATTTGTCACAATTAGTCCCTTCATATACATGGTGTATGACACCATCTTGAATAACAAGCTGTGTGCTGCATGCTGGGATTCCTAGTTCTCCCCTATCCCTTTTCCAGCTTTATGGAATCTGTGCTCCTAACGTCACACATCTGACTTTAAAGTGGCCAGAAGAATAAAAAGAACCGTACATCGCCGTTTGTCAATCTCTCCAGGAAAAGCATTAGGCCGCTGACGTTAATCGTGCAATCACTGAACAAAAGGAAAGCAGGAGCAGTAAACAAAGCAGTTAAGTAAAATGCTGAATTTAGGGTGTGGCTAAGACACCAACTCAAAATTTGGCCATTGGGTCTCCAATTCTGCATCCTGCATCCTGCGTTGCTATGAGAAAGATGCTATTTGCATTGAACGTTGCAAGAAAAAAAAATCATAAACTTTCACACTGGAACGCACAGACTGTGGAAACAACCAGGGGACTACTTGGTCCTACCAGCTTCGTCCTCTGAAGGAGCAGTGTCTGCTTATCAGTATCACTGTGGTCAGCAGAATATGTCAATCATAAGTGGACGGCACAGAGACGGCTGTGAAACAAACAAGACCTGTTTACAGAACTCTAGCAGGGGTGGGGGGGTCAGAAAAACAGCAGTCGTTTCACTCACACCCCGCAGTTCAGAAAAACCTAACACCTGGAAACCTGCCGAAAGTACCCTGGGCAATTCCAGACAGGCTGCACTTGGGAATCAGGCGCTTTCAGGAGATGAAATGGATGGAATGTCAGTGATTTAAAGCAAGACCTTCTCACAGAAGATATTCCCAGGACACAGCGCAGACCTCATACACAAAGACTAGGAAATGCCATTGAGTATATGGTCCAGACGTCCACCCCACCACGTTCTCTCCTGGTTACTGTGGCTTTAACAGTTTTTACACCCGCAGAGAGAGCAGGACCAGTTACCCACTCAGCTACATCATAGGAAGGGGGGGCGATTTCAGAATCACAGTCACAATCAGCGACACACTGGTGTGGCATGTCTCAACCAGCCCCTTGTGAAAACAGATTGTGAAATACGCACCACATTTCTACCGATTCAAATTTCAGTAAGTACGAGATTTTATTTTTCTGAAGAAAGCCCAATGAACATCTCTAAGAAGGTTTTTTTTGGCTAAGTTTTCTAGCAGGCACCTACACTTTCCTTTCTCATGCTTTGCAACTGGAAACATATTTGAATGTAGTCATGCAATTCTATTTTAGATATAACTACAATGCCTAAGGTACTTATCGTTCTTTAAATATTTTCTGCTATTTGTACTATTTACATTTCAGACATTTTGAAAGAAAAAGCTACTTTGTGCTGACATGCAAACGTGGACGACACCACAAAAACATTCTCAGAGATTTGCCATGTGAACTCCATGCAGATTGTTCTTCTGACTTTAACTTTAACTGACTTTAATGATTCCAGCCACAGTAAGATCTTGAAGCATTTGGGTGATTCTGCAGAAAAGGCCGTTTCAATCCAAGTTACAAATCCAGGGTAACTGGCATTTTCATCTTCCAACAGTTAAAACCACAGTAAGAACCAGGTGGAACCAAGAAATAATAATAAAAAACATTACACACAAACAACACATAGACCCTGACTGTCACACAATTATAGGCCTTAGTGTCAGTCCCTTTTAGTGTCACAAGAGGTCCTTAAACTGAAGGTGCAACAATACAATTCATACTTGGTGTACAAGGAGGTGCAAGTCTCAAAACATACTGCAGGGTCCTTTGTCAAGTACGTTTTGGACACAAAGTCTAAAGAAAGCAGGCATCTTGCTACTGCAGGCTGCTTCCAGCACTGTGGTCTTTTCCTGGTGTAGACTGGGTGGTGGTGAAGGCCAGTGTGTGGGAAGGTAGACCTGAGGAGGGTGTAGCTGCCTCGCGCGCTCCCAGCAGGAGTGTCACGGCCTTCTTCACAGTAGGGGGGCTCAGCTGTCTTATTTCCTACCGCTCTCCAAGCAGTGCTGGAACTGGGCAAAGCTTAGGAAGACCTGCTCCAGAGAAATCTGGCTCACACAGTAGTCCTCAATCCCATACTTCTCTTTGGCAGCTTCCAGGGTTCCAAACACCTAGACAAAGAGTTGGATTCAAGAGCAGACTGGGTTACAAAGCTGCATAACAAAATAAGGGTCTCACAAGAACAGAAGGTTTTATGATCTTGGACCAGCTGCATGCCCATCAACAACAGCTTGCATTTAACAGCTGTAGAGAAAGCAGACCCAGAATGGAGCTCTCTGGGATTTGTGATACGACACGGAGAAGGGACTACATCGATTCAATCCCCACGCCATTTGAGAATGTTTCACAAACTCCAAAACTACGGCAATGGTGCGGGAGATGCCTCCTCGCCGGGTGAAAGGGGAGACGGGGATGAAAATGAAGCAGCAGGAAGAGGGGCAGGACAGAGAAAAGTACTACCTGTGCCCAGGTGAGGCTCTTGTCAGTCAGGTGATAATGGACCATGCCCTGGTGCTCATCCTTCAGCATGCTCCCTGGCAACGAGAGCACCGCGGTGATCAGACAGAAACACTCCAGACCCCGGGACCAGCCGCGACCTCCGAGGGCCACACTGTCTTCGGGCCCTTCACCGCGCAAAGTCTCTTAGCCTCTTCTCAGCACTCAAAGTGCTTAAAGGAAACTTCAGCGGCTGTGTTATTAAGGTTCTATATAACCCCCACTTGGCACGAGACAGGTGCGATCTGCGCCCCAGCCCGTGGAGAGCCGATTCGGAGCCGTTCGCTCACCTGGGAAGGTGCTCTCGATGAAGTCCTTGAAAGGCTGCAGGTCGGTCTCCTCAAACTCCACCCTCACCTTGGCCAGGAGGGTGTAGCCGCTGCCAAACTTGCTCTTGAGGTGCTGGGGGCTGCCCAGGCATTTGAACTGGCCATTGACCATCACAGCCAGCCGGGTGCACAGCGCCTCGCATTCCTCCATACTGCCGCACAGCAGTTCAAGGGAAGGGTTAGACACAGCGGGGACACACACGGCCATAGCAGCCAGGGACATACCACACGTCTGCAAGAAGACCTTCCTCTGACGGGTTACGACACTACTAATGAAATAAAGTCATTCTTCAACCACACCTGTCATCACAACGGATCCCACAGCCCTTTGCACATACAAGGGGACCACTCTGGTGAGATGTAGCCCTTCAACTCCAGTATCCCCACTGCACAGTACAGTACATTGGGCAAAGTAAGAAAGTTCTTCAACTATATTTAGGGGGGAGAATGTTAAGGAGGCCAGACTGAGCAGAAGTGGATTTCAGCCATCACTACTGATCGCCATTGACAAGGTACCCAGGACCTTGGTTTCACGTCTCATTCGAAGAGCACTGTTCACTTCACTAGGGCACTAGACTGGAAATTACGGTCCAGAAGGAACCTACTGCCACCTGCTGTTCCACCAACATCACTTGCAGGAGCAACCTGGGTTTTCCTCGGAGGCCTCTCATCCCAGTACAGACCAGGTCCAGCCTTAGCTTCTGAGATCAAGCTAGCAGGTGAAAATGCTGCTTCCCAAATATAACACTTTAATATATTTATTAAATATATTAGAGATTTAACCAGTGGTGGGGGCGGGGGTGAATTAAAAACACCACAAGAAAAAAGTCTATTACAAGATTTTCTAAAAAGACATTAAGCAGCTGCTAAAACATACTAAATCACATTACAACATTTTGCATTAGATTTGCAAAAGGCCAGAGACTTCCAAAACCTGTAAAGACTGAACACCTGGACGTGCCTAAGCAAGCCTGAGAATAAATGTTAAGAAATTTAATCCCTATCATCTGGCTGGTGCAACTGTCACATGTCTTTAAAATAACAAGTTCCAGGATACAATAATGAATGCATTCTCGCACTAAATCTACGTGATATGCACTGTGCTATCTTTATTTAGAATATCTTTTTTCTTCTAAGAACCAGAGGAGGTAAATGAAAACTTATTGATAGGTTCTTTACCATCTTATGGCCCAAATTTTTCTTTTTGCATAAAAAGAAGAATATTTTGTAGGCTATACAGGAGGATAAACTCTAGCATGATTCTGCCGTCTGAATTCACTGCTCACAAAAATTCTCCTCCTCCTCCAAGTCCAGATTCAGAGTTCATAGACTTTTTCAGTGCAAACAGGGCTGAAGTAGGAATTCAGGGCACCCGATGGACCGATCAGTGATTCTAGTAAAGAATAACCAGCAGGAGGACCACAGAGTTCCGATGGCAGAGCAGAGGAGAGGGACGTACCTGTGAGAGGTGATGATGATGGCTTTCCCCGATTCTCGCGTCCTGGTTACCGCATCCCACAGCAGTCGCCTAGCAACGGGGTCCATCCCCGTGGAGGGCTCGTCCAGGAATATGACGGGTGGCCCCCCGATAAGAGCCATCCCTGCACTCAGCTTTCTTTTATTCCCCCCGCTGACAGAGGGAGGGAGAGAAATGCGTCAGTCTCGCCAGCAGGCCGCAAGATCCACGATGCTTCTGGGCTGTTAGGTAGCTGGGTGAAATGGCCCCCCTTACAAACAGCACAAATGGTGTGCTCTGTTTGTGCCTTGAAAGTAGCATTTGTGCCGTTTTCTTTCCTGAAATATAGCGCCCTTTTTCAGGGAAGTGACTTTATTCAATCCCCCCTAGGACAGCGCAGGAGACCTTAACCAGTCTCATTCGTTTGTCCTGGTCTGTGCTGTTGGAAGTAGTGTCTGAGGTAATTTTGCCCTCAAGACATAGCTCCTTCTTTTTCCAGGGTGACACGTGACTTATGTCACCATCGTGGGGAGCTTGCGGACATCACACCCCAAAAAAGAAGGAGCTAGCACTCTAGAATGAAAGCAGCACAAATGCCACGTTCAAAGGCACTGACCAGCACAAACAAATGTGGTGGGTTTCACTGTACTGTCTGAAGGGGGACCAACTCCACTGAGCTAATTTTGGGGTACTTCTTCCAACTCACTGAAAACAGGTGCTTCAGAGAAGCAAATGAATTCAGACCCAATAAAAACCAGAACGCTGTGAATCACAAGTCAGTGGTGTCCTCATTTTAAACCTGAAAAAAAACATCAACACAAGCTGAAAGAGTGAAATGGCTGAAAAATAGGTTACAAACGAGAGGAGATCACCTGGCCTGTCTGGCCTGTTTAGTATTTAGGAGCTGACTGATCCGAGGATCTCATCCAGCTGTTTCCTGAAGGAAGCCAGGAATTGGCTATAACTTCGTTGCTTTGCAGCTTGTTCCAGACTCCTACCACCCTTTGTGTAAAGAAATGCCTCCTGCTCTCGGCTTTATATGGAATCCTGCCTGCATAGTCTCCACTTGTGTTCTCAGATTTGTGTTTTTGTGTTCCATCTGAATAAAATGTTCCTCTGTTGCTTTGTTGGTGTCTTTGAGGATTTTGAATAAGAGTAGGAGGGTCCCCTTGTCTCCTCCTCTGTCAGACTAAAAAGGTGAAGCTCCTTCAAAATGTCAATTTGGGACATTCGTTCGAACTCAGGAATAGATCTGGATGCTCTTCTCTGGACTGACTGCAGAGAAAGCAATAACGTTCCTACAAGGTGGTGACCAAAACTGCACACACATTTCTAAATCAGGCCCTATCAGTGTGTTCCACAGTGATTTCAGTCCTTGATCTCAGTTCTACACTTTGAAATATACAGGGCACCAGAAAAGGAAAGAGCGGCGGGATGAACTGTACATCCTAACTCGAGGCGCAGGGTCTCCAGCAGCTGCGCTCTCTGCTCCGGGGCTGAGCTGTACCTGTAGTTGCGAACCAGCTTGTCGGCGTGTGGCTCCAGCAGGAGGGACCGCAGCACGTTCTCCACACAGCCCGCCACGTACTTCTCCGGGATGCCCCGCAGGCGTGCGTACATGTTCAGCGTTTCCCGTCCCGTCATGTGGTCCAAGAGGGCGTCAAACTGGGGGCAGTAGCCAATCCGCTGCTGCACCTGCGGGGGAAGACAGGTTCCATGGTGGATTTAATGGGGAAGTGCAGAGCTGTGTCCTTAACGTTGTTCCCCGAAAAAGGCACATCTCCCCTCTCTTTGGCTCATACACGGTGCGAGAGTGCAGTCAGTTCAGACAATGGAGCTTCTTGTCTGGACTACATTTCCCAGAATGCTATAGGGGAATGACCCGCTTCCCTTGGTCACCTGACCGATTGCCGCGCACCAGCTGGTCAGGTGACCAAGGGCAGCAGGTCATTCCCCATAACATTCTGGGAGAGAAGGAAGCCACGGACTGACCAAGTGACTGATAAATAGTGGGTTTAAAACGTCGGAGATGCGATTTTGAGAAGAGTCTGTTAGGTGAAAAACATACATGTATACAAATGTAAATATATTTTAAAAAGAGATTCCAAAATTTCCAGTGAAGGTGAAACTCATACAGGTTCCACAGTCTTGGGTCAAACTTGATCCACTCACACAAATAAAGCACCTAACTCCAAACATAGAGCAGAAGCTTCCCACCACACCTTCTTGATATCCCTCAGGATGCTGTAGCCATCGATGTAGGCATCTCCAGTGGTCACGGTCTCGTCCCCGGTCAGCATCTTGAAGGTGGTGGTCTTTCCGGCTCCGTTGAAGCCCAGCAGCCCGAAGCACTCCCCCTTCCCGACCGCCAGGGACAGGCGGTCAACGGCCAGCAAGGTCTCTCCGCTGCTGTAGACCTGAGAGGAAGACGAGAGCCCGTTTCACACCACCACAGATCCGGATGACTCGCCAACTGGCCAACTAGCATAAAAAAACATGAAGCATTTTCTGCCTGGGCAACTGCTGGTATAACGGCTGCTGTTTCCCTAACTTTTAGACCAGAACATAGGAAAAAGCATTTTACTGAATGCTTTGATACCCGACTTCACGAGGTAAGAGCGTTAAGAAAGATCACCAATGAGGACAGGCTTAACTGGGTAGTCTAACACAGCTGGTTCCCAGCAGCCTGATGTCACAAGAATCCTTCCCCGTTCACTTCTTGAAGAAAGGCTGGGTATGAGCTTCAACAACACGGCTGGGATGCTCGGTCCAGACTCCCGCCACAAGTCTTTGTGTGCTTCCTCTGCTTTCTACTTGCGTCTTCTAGTCTGATTTGGCTGATGATGTGGAAGTCCTTTGGGCATTTCACGTACTTGGATCGAATCCCCTTTGGTTTTTGCCAGACCAAACACATCCTTTTACCCCCTCTTAAGAGATTCCCCGAAGACCAGGAATTAAGGTAGTCGCCCGTCTTGGGTCTGATCCAGAGCAACATGTACTTTTCGAAACGTGGCAGCCAAAACAGTAAACGGTATTCTACATAAGGTCTGACTAATACACTGGGCAGTTTGAGCGTTCCTTTCCTCGATTCCTGGATTCAAACGTTTTTACCAGCCTACCTACCAGGACGATGCCAGCTGTCAGGAGCGTCAAGTCAAGTGCTCCGATGGGAGGCGGCTGCTCCTACCTTGCTCAGCTCCTGCAGGACCAGAGGGCTTCCCATCATGGACTCCACGGCAGGCTGGCACTCCAGCACGCGCTTCCTCTCCTCCGCCACGTCCCTGTCCTCCGGCACCAGGGCGGATTCGCTCGTCACGGCCACCTGCAGCCGAGCCAAGCCACCGCGGAAACCAGGAAGCGTCACGTACAGCGGAATAGCCACCTGGACCGTTCCCCATGCCCCGCTAGACGGCTGGTTTAACAGCTCGGGCTTTGCGGAGTCGTTCTCCCAGAGGTTCTTTTTAATTCGATTAAAGCAATTTAGGCAAAAGCTGAGCTGGAGTGCCGCCGATAGGATTCGGGGTTTGCAAAAGCCGCAGGAGCTGACCAATCAGCGATCCGTGTGAGTTTAGCTTCAATTTAAGCCCTGAACCCAAGACCACTGCTGTCTATGCTCACAAAGTTATCACACGCTGTTTATGGGGGCGTCATTCCAGGCTGAAATCGCCTCTGGAGGCGACATGACACCTGGGAGTCCTACAAGATTAAATGTATTGTGGGGGTCACAGGCTGACTCCTTAGGGTAAAATACAACACCCAGAGTGCAGAAAAAAAAAATTAGAACCTGTACTCTTGACAACAGTAACTGTAGTTAATTCCGAACTGGGTTCCTATGTTACTGGGGTATCCTGGCTATGCTATAAACCTGCAACCTCCTAAACACCTGCGGAATGGGGCATTTGTATATGAAAACATCTGTCCTTTTGCCGACACTTCTTACGTCAGGCGACAGACGTGCCTGTCTGCTCCTGCAATTCAAGCTTTTTGCGTGTGTGAGTGCGTACACCTAATTGTAAGCCTTGCATCAGTGAGGAGCACAGTGCTTGGCTCAACAATGCTTGAAAATTCTAGTACCAAGCCCTTCTTAAAAGCATGCAGGGGTCACAATCCCTTAATAAAAGCTCCTCATAAATATGCTGGGATTGTCCAGTTGACCCCATACGCCCCTTAGATATATGCCAGCTGTACGCACCAGCATCTTCATCAGGGCCTCCAGGGTGCATGTCACCAAGCTGGTCTAGTGTTCAGGCCTGCTGATTATTGTGCTTGGTGTTTTGTCCCTGCCGCACACCAAGGCCGCTAAACGGAACCCCAGCTCGGGGGCAGGTGTCGGGAGACTGCCTCAGCACACGCAGGAGAGGACGGCACTCACTTTCTTGCGCCTCCTGAAGAGGGCGCCGCAGAGGCGGCAGAGAGTGCGGAACCAATGGAGCTCGATGACGAAGAGGAGAACGAGGAAGACGGCGCCCTGTGAAGACATGGCCACTAGGAACCGTCCCACCCCAGGTGCTGCCCAGTCGAAGTAGTTCTCCTGATAGGTGAGATCTGCAAAACAAATAAGGCACTGGCCTTTACCCAAGAACACTGCCGCTACCCGTGATACATCCGTATTCATCAATGATATTATATTTTCCACGGCTGAGCTTGGTTTAATTTTCAAATCAAGCTTGATGTGTCTTCAGTCTGGAACATCCCAAATTCCAAGTTCGTTTCAAACCTAACACGAATCGACACCGCTGAGCGGCCACCTACCTGAGCCGAAGCTGGCCTCACGTCACTCAGGAGAAGCCGATTAGTGAAAAGCCACTCTCGAGCAAAGACAACCAGTTTCTACAATCTGACCTACAAAGACCTTCGTCGCCTTGCAGCAGGGAGCTGGATCGGTCATGTTGATCAGCGCAACAGTCAACGGTCAGATCGCACTTTCTCTGACATTATTGTGACAGTGGATTGATGGACCGTGGCTTATTTTCACAATGGGCAGATTAGGGCATCCCAGTCTTGGCCCTGGAGAGCTGGTCTGCCTGCCTGCAAATCTCTACTGAAACCCAGTGAAACCCAGTGAACCCAGCCACTCAGGATTTAAATCTTCTCATTGATTTAACTGGAGTAATTCAACAGCTTCTGCGGACTGTGCCATTTTTAATCTCATCCACAGCAAAAGAACCATTAATGAGAACTGTAAGATGAAGTAAAATGTATCTGAGACATCAATAGGAAACCTGTAGGTAATGAAAGGGAAATGGCTCATGTACTAAATGAGTATTTTACTAGGAAGAAGTCAACATGTTCTCAGGCAGCAGAGTGAAGCGGTTTATCAAACAGTATTAGCATAGAAAATGGAAAAATGTTTCAGGGACTAGAAGGACTCAGGATAAATAAATCTCCAGGGCTTGATGGCATCTTACCAATTGTGTTCAAGGGAAAAAGAGATGTTCAGAAGCCACAGACACAACTCTTCCAGCAGTTGCTCAGACAGGGGTAATCCCCTTTAACAGTTGCTAATGTAGTGTCCATCCGTTAAGAAAGGTGACAATCATACACCAAAGTCTGACTTCTATTATACATAAGATTATGGAAAAAATTATTAAAAATCGAGGATCACCTATATTGAAATAACATTATAGGGAGAACATGCATTTAGAAAAGGTAGGTCTTGCCTAACCAGCTTGTTAGAGATCTCTGTAAAGCAACAATAGGACTCATGAGCATATGATATTTTCAGAAGGCATTTTGATAAAGCTTTTTATAACAGATTAATTCTCTAATTATACATGATTGGCATTCAGGGAAATGCATACACTTGTACTGGTCAATTAACTCTCTGTCAAAAGGTAAAAGTTCAAACCGGGGAGATGAAATTAGTGGAGTACCACAGGGACCTGTACTAGGACCACATGTGACTCTGGAGTACAGTCTACTCGGTGGTGGATTTCAATCAGACGAAATGACATTCAGAAGCAGTCACAGGACGGAAAACAGCCTCGGAGTTCTCTGTACTTACTGTACATTTGACAAATTGCTTCGCTCAAGCTGCTGGAAGGGCAGAACTTCAGCAGCTCATAGTTCTGGTAGAACTCGCTGAACGCCATGCCCAGGCAGTAGTTAGGGAAGACCAGGAAGACTTTGTCAAGAATCTTGGAGAGGTCTACAAGCTTGAGTTCTGGAGGGGTGGGGGGGAGGCGGAGGAACAAAACAGCAAACTCTTAATACAGAGCGCCGCGGGCTGGCTCCACGACGGACGACGGCAACAGCAGGCACCGGCCCTCACCAGGGATGGCCATGATTGTGACGGTGAGGAAGGTGGCGGTGCCGCTGATCATGTTGAAGATGGTGAGGCGGGTGTAGGCTGTGGCCGCGGTGGAGAAGAGGAAGCTCAGCAGGTACATCAGGGGGATGACGGCCCAGCCGTACAGCATCAGGATCAGCATGACGTCCACGAGGTGCGTGTCCTGAGTGAAGGCCTGCACGCCGAAGGCCCTGAACACCACCTGCGTGCACACACGCACACACACACACAGACATGGGAGAGACCCGCTTGAGACGCAAGAACTCAACTGGCTCTGAAAGTAAAACCAGAACGTGGGTGAATTCAGGTCTCAGGTGAGCAGAACATTCCAGCAAAACCAGAAATCCTACATTTAGCGTTTCCTCCGAGTTCAGGTCTGGTGTAGTATGCTCTCCATACATTTTGTCCTCCCAATTATCCTTCGTAAGTCATAACCGGAGCAGAAAAATGGGAAATCGGACTGAGAAGCTACATCTTTGAGGGCACTGGGCTACCTAAATGTAAAACTAGAGAAGAAAAGGAGCACCAAGGTGCAGCTGTTGTCGGGGCTTCTGGACTTGTAACTGGAAGGAGGTGGGTTCCCATCCCAGGTGAGACAAGACAGGTGTACTTTTGAACAAGCTGCTTCACCTGAATTGCTCCAGTACAATACCTGGCCGGGTCAAAAGAGAGGCCGCTTTGGACTAAAGCATCGTCCACGTAAATCAGCAATGAGAAAGAGTGAAACACTGACCAGCATGAGCACGCAGGGCAGCAGGAAATTGATGAGGTCCCACAGCAGTGCAGAGAACCAGAAGTTGGACAGGTAGACACCGCTGACCTGCTGCACGTGTTTGGACTTGAGGGAGCGTTCGGTGACCAGGAGCAGAGCGAAGGTACTGGACAGGGAGGCCATGCCGTACATCAGGTTAATGGCAATGGCAAAGCCTGTCTGGCCCCTGTAGCAGAGAGAAGAGAGTGAGAAACGCAACTTCAGAGCCTGTCAAAGATCATCCATCCCCTTTCTAACTGCTTTATCCAATACAGGGTTGTAGGGGAGCCGGAGCCTATCCCAGCAAGCAATGGGTGCCAGGCGGGATACACCCTGGACGGGACGCCAGTCCATCGCAGACACACACACTCTCACACCAGAGCCGATTTTTAACAGAAGCCAATTAACCTGGACTCTGGGAGGAAACGCAGTGAGACCATACCAGTTTCACGCAGACAGCACCCCAGGAATTGAACTCGGAGCCCCAGAGCTGCAAGGCAGCCAGGCTAACCACTGTGCCACCCAAGTTTGGTGTTCTCATTTCACAATTCACAAATCCTGTAGTAGTCACATAAAAACGTGAGGTTGAACAACCGAACAATGAAGCATTAACCAGCTTTGGGGAAACAAAAACCGCGTGTAACGAATCATGATTATCAGTGTGAATCTCACGAACGGAAACAACATGAGAGTTCTGGCTTTTTACTCCATTTTGCACTGGATTTTTCAAAGGGTTTGGAAAAAAGAAGGATTTCACTAGCAATTGTCTAAAATGTGCTCATTTTAACTGAAAGGAGAGTGAAACTGGCGAGCCACTCGGCACGCTTATATTTTCCAACGCGGCAAGGCGCTGGCTGGCAGTGAGCCACCACAGGGCGCCCCCCTGGAAACGCAGGGCCCCGGCACCGGGTCCGACCGCTCCTTACTCCGTGAGCTCGTCGCGGGCGGTCTCCGAGACGTTCCGCGGCATGGGGTAGTTCCCGGCGCGGATGGAGGCGTTGGGCCCCGCGATGAGCCTGTAGATGGCGTTGTCCACCAGCAGCAGCGCAGCGGGGGGGGTGTGGTAGCCCTGGTTGTTGAAGTAGGCCGTCGCCTCCACCCCGCTGGGGCCGTCCCTGACGGACGCGCCCGCCACGCAGTGCTCGTTGAAGGCGCCGCCCTCGTCCTCGGCCGCCCGCAGCACGTACTCTGGCAGGCCTGCAGGGGGAGACAAACGCAACACTCAAGCCCTGGGCGGAGAGGCCGAGCGCCAGGAGAGGCTAGACCTGCAGTTTATCAGCAGGGTTTTAAAGGTTTTGTGAACAAGCAGCAACGGAGAAATAGAAAAGGAGCTGTGCACTCGCGTTGCCTTGAAATTAAATTTTGATGGGGGTCAGTTCCTTTCAAACCCCCCCAGACTGCTGTTCCTGAAGGACGACGAGCTGGGCTCTCACCGGAGACGTTTATGGCCCGGGCCTTCTCCGCAGGGAGCTGGCCCCGGTACGCCGCAGCCAGGGCCGCCGCCAGAGAGCCGGCCCCGGGTTCCAGGGCCACGGGCACAGCGGTGGGGCCGTAGAGGCTCAGGGCCAGGCGCAGCTGGGGCGAGTCCTGGGGCCCGGGGAAGGCGCGGGCCACCACCAGGGCCAGCACGGTGAAAATCAGCGGCACCAGGAACTGCGCCACCATGACCTTCCAGTTGCGCCAGCTGTACAGCGCCCTCTTCAGGAACATGGCGTAGAACTGCTGCAGGAAGAGCTTGGCCTGGCGAGGCGGGGGAGAGAGAGAGGAGCCG